TGACGATTTGAGGAAGAATGTGATGACTGAGTCTCATAATTCTGAGTTTTCTGTTCATCCAGGCGAAGATAAGATGTATCAAGATATGAAGCGGCAGTTTTGGTGGGCAGGTATGAACAAGGATGTTGCTATATTTGTCTCTCATTGTAGTACTTGTCAGATGGTTAAGATTGATCATTAGTGGCCGCCAGGAGCTCTACATCCACTGCCGATACTGGAGTGGAAATGGGAGAGCAATTCTATAGATTTTGTGGAGGGATTGCCAAATTCCTTTAAGGATCACAATTCCATTTGGGTCATCATAGATAGATTGACTAAATCAACTCATTTCTTGCCTATTCGTACTGACTTCACATCAGAGTAGTTGGCTAGACTTTACATTACAGAGATTGTAAAGCTGCATGGCATTCTGTTATTTATTATATCGGACAGGGATTCGAGTTTTGTGTTAGGATTTTGGAAGAGTTTTCAATAGGTTTTGGGTACAGAATTATATCTTAGCACTGCTTATCATCCCTAGACAAATGGTCAGACCGAAAGGGTTAATCAGATCATGGAGGATATGTTTCGTTTATGCGTTCTTGATTTCAAGGGCCATTGGGAGGATTATTTGCCACTAGTCGAATTTGCGTATAACAATAGTTTCTAGAAAACTATTGGTATGGCACTGTTTGAGACATTATATGGCCGACCATGTCGATCTCCTGTTTGTTGGATGGAGGTTAGTGAAAATAGATTCTTGGGTCCTGAGTTCATTAAAGATACTTCTGAAAAAATTGCTCTTATTCGAGATCGCATGCGCACTGCCCAGAGTCGGCAGAAGAGTTATGCAGATCGTCGTACTCGTGCATTGGAGTTTCGGGTTGGGGATTAGATTTTACTCAAAGTGTATCCTATGAAAGAAGTAATGCGCTTTGGGAAGAAAGGAAAGTTATCGCCGCTGTTTGTCGGTCTATTCATGATTACGGATCGAGTTAGCATTATAGCTTATCAATTGACATTTCTAGATAATTTGGATCACGTCTACAATGTGTTTCATGTTTCCATGTTAAGGAAAATTCTGCGCTATGAAGATCGGTATCAGCATATCGATGTTAGGGAGATTGAGTTGCAGCCGGATGCAACATATTTGGATCCACCGTGTCGTATTGTCGACCGTCGGGATCAAATCCTTCGTAATAAGGTTATCCATTTAATACGTGTTTAGTGGAGTCATCACAATAAGGCTAAGTCTATTTAGGAACAGGAGGTTGTCATTTGCTCGCAATTTCCTGAAATATTGGAAGAAGGTAAGAGCGAATTCCGAGGACGGAATTCTTTTTGTTAGGGGGGAATAATGTAATACCCCTAATTTTAAAAGGGATAGTCTCGGTATTTAATTAATGGTTTTATTGCATTTTATTTGATTACTTGCTATTTGCTTAATTATTTACTTGGTTATTTATTTAAACTAATTGTTTAGATTGTGTAATTAGTTGTTTATTTTCATTGATTGTTTATTTGCTAATTTGTATAAATATTTATTGAGTTATCTATTTATTTTTATTTTTATTTTTATGTCTATGTGGCATTTTAATTAAATTGATTATAGTTGATTGTGTATCTTTACGGTGTAGGGTTTTATTATTTTGTATGTAGTCACCGACTTATAATTTAATTGGGGGTTGGAATTAGGTTATAATCTAAGGCTTATATATACTGTTAAATCAGAATTAGGGTGGAGACGCTTATATATATATTTTTTGTTTACGTCCGTTAGGGTAGAACAAAAACCCTATTCACGTAGTGAGAGGCAGAGGGAAATAGAGAGAGGGACTTGAGAGATTAATAGAGAGGTTTCAGGAGGAAAGAATAGATTGCTTCTGGGTTGAACTAAGAGCAACGGAGGTGTAGAACGGCAGTCTAGGAAGTTGTCGGAAAACTCAGAGACGGTGGTTTAAAGTTTCAAAACTGAAACTGAAGACAAATCTTTATTCTAACTCCTTCCTTAAACCTATATTCTGTGCATGCCAAGGTAGACTCCAGGGTTTAGATTAATGTTAAAACATATCTTTCATGTTTGTTTGAATTGTATTTATATGCTTTGAATTAAACTGGGTTAGGGTTGATTGAAGTTTCTAATGGAATCTTGCTGTCGTTGGTTTAAAGCTTTGTTTAACTTGTGTCATTGATGTATAACAATGTCATATAATTAATTTAGGACATTGATTGAACCCTAGAACAAGTAATAAAAACATTACAGAGGCTTTGAACATCGCCGGAGGCGAAGAAGACGAAGGAAAATCAGATGACGGCTCTTAAGGGAGAGAGAACTGGCTCCCAAAAAGAGGGAGCTAGCTCCCTCAAGGCAAGAGCCGGCTCCCACATGGAGGGAGGCAGATCCCAGCTCCTTAGAGCCGGCTCCCAAGGGTGGGGAGCCGGCTCCCATGTGTTGGGAGCAGGCTCTCAACTTGTGAAAGCCTGCTCTCGCCCTGAAACGCACCAAAACTGTTTTTAGGGTCTGTTTGGGCTGTCTGGGGTTTTCTAAAGCTATTTAAATTGCACTGAATGATGTAAATAATTTCCATGGACTTATAAAAATATTGGGAAACATTATTACATTACTGTATTAAGGAATGAAGTAACATGAAGTTACAGAAAAGCTTGTATGTTGAATATTGTTTTGTTGATTTATTTGTTTACTGAAACTTAGCAAATCTTTTATATATGATTTAATAATGTTTAATCATATTTCAACATGTTGTAAGTATAGTGGATTATATGCAATTAACTATGCTTGGATTGGATTAAATTGATAATTAATTTGTTGTAAACTGTATCAATTTATAAACTGTTTGGAGGATTTAATTGCTTAGTTGTATCTTAGCAATTTACAGGAATGGAACATGATTTTTTAGGTCTTATAATGAATGCCTAATATGGTCATATATGTATTAAACTTTATTTATGCATATCTTGGGGTATGGTTGATGAGTACTTATTACTATTTTATTAATTATGCTATTTGGAGGATTGTGTGCACCGGTATGGGACGGTGGCATACTAGGGATGTATTAGCTCAAACACTAAGTCCTAACTATTCTGGATTGAGGTATGGATTAACCATGAATGTTAAGTCCTACTCATATTAGTGTCAGGTCAATAAACAATTGAATGACATACTTTGGTTTTTGGATGGATTTTTATACATATGTTAGGCCACTATACCAGATGGATGATATTTTGTATTAGGCTTATATGAACTTTATATATTTATGATTATGGTGCCATGATATGAACTTGAGTCTCAGGATCATGGTTAGGGTGCGTATATCGCCTAGGATGGATAACTGGACATAGTTGTTGTTCCCTGGTAGGTCTAGGTACACATAACCACATTATGTGCGATTTGCATAGTATCTCTACTCAGGCTGAGACAGACCTATTGGGCTAGTGAGCGTCTTATAGTGTGTACTTATACATATATGGATTACTTTAGTTATTGTTGAGCTATCTAGGATGTATCTGCGTATCGGATTTCTGTATGGATTGTAATAGGATAGAACTTGCATGTGGGCCTGACCCACTATCTTATTTTCAGGTGTTCATCAATTCCAGGGTTAGAGCTTAATCGTGCTGAGCAGATACAGTCACTCATTCCTCCTACTACGTAGGACTGCTTTCCATGTTTAGTTTTGGATTTTGTTTCAGTTGTTTCCTTTTCAGTTTGGGATTTTGGATATGGGTCCACTAGATGGATTCACGAGTTGTTTAAGTAATGGAGGTTTTGGATTATTGGATTTTAATTATTTTATTTTGAGGATTTTAATTTAGAATTCTTTCAGCGTTTATTATTTAATTCCTGTTATTCTTTTGTATTCTGTGTTAAATTACATATTAATTGTTTGGTATCCCTCGAATCGGTGCTAGGATTTGATCACACGTGGTTCTAGAATCGAGGGGTATCATAGTTGTGTTGAATATTTCTTTTAATTTTTTGATGTAAATTGGATCGTGCTCTTTATAAAGCACCAAGATCGGGTTTTGTTTTTTGTGTTTTCAACATTAATATATTTTGTGTTTATCGTCTCATTTTAATGAAAATTCTGACTCTTAAAAATTTTTGGTACATGCAAAACCTCAAGTATAAAGGGCCTTAAATTTGAAAGTTCACCTAGGACTCTCAAAATTTTGGAAGTTTCGGGGCGGCCTGGAGAATTGTATACTATCAGGGGTTTGAAAGAGAAAAAGAGAGAGATGAGGGTTTCAAAGATTAGTGGCTTCTTTTGAATTACCTAATCCGCTAGTTTATATGCAAAATATATACATATATATATATATATATATATATATATATATATATATATATTTTGTGTGTAAAATCAATTACACGTTAAATAGCTTTTTAACATATATTTTTTGGAGTTTGGTAGATTCTTAAATAAATAAATAAATTAGGAGTATCGTCAATTTAGAAATTAGTAATCAAGTTTTGAATTAAAAAAACAACATCCACAGACCCAAGGTGTGCATACATAGGTGTGTGTATATATATATACATATGCTAATGGTAGCCCACTCCAAATTAGCCCAATCCAAAATTAGCCCATCCCATTCAAAAATGCTGGATCCGCCCTTGTATATATGTGTGTATGTGTGTGAATATTGTATATGTGTATATGTGATATATATATATATATATATCTTCGCATACACCTACACATATATATATATATATATAAATCTTCACATACACCTACACACACACACACACACATATATATATATATGTATGTATATATATAATTAAGATCCAGAATTGTTGATTAAACCATGAACCCAGTCATGAAACTCATAATCGGATTGTTGATTACAGTATTTTTTCTCATCTTGGTTCGTCAAAGCATGGAATATGTTGGAGAAGAGGCAAGTGTAATGAAGGAGCTGCCAGGTTGGAAGGTTGTTTAAAGCATTTTATCAGTGGAAGACATACAACTCTGACATCAAATAACAGCTCAAACTTTGTCATGATAAAGCTCTGCCATGTAGTACCACACATAAATAACCGCTCAACCTCTCTTTCTCTTATTCTGTGTCAGCTCTTCCTTCTATTTAAGTCGTTCTGCTACCCTCCAATTCCAATATGCACCAAGTGAATTGAAAATGGCAAAAGTTGTAGCGCTTGTGGCCTATGCCCTCTGCCTCTTGGCCCTGTCTGGATTCGCCAGTGCCGCCGACAACAAAAAAGACAGCAAGTTCACCATTGAAGGCAAGGTTTACTGTGACCCATGCCGCGTTCAATTTGTCACCAAATTGAGTCAATTCCTTGAAGGTAATTAATTAATATCACCAAATTTATCACCATTCTTGCTTTTGTCCCATATTAATGAGGTTGGCCAAGTAAATTCCTTCTCTATATTTCCTATTTTATGAACCATGTCTTCTAATTAAATCTAATTTTTTAAAGTTGTTTTTAATTACGTCATCTTATATAACCTTTGGTTGGCCTTTTTCTGATTTACCTTCCAGACAAATAACACCTTCTATTTTAATTAAATTATAAGCATAAACTCATATATATATATAAAATAACGTAACACTATTGTTATTCAATGAGTGCATGCAATGATGTTTAGGCTAACGAGTCATCAATATTTCAAGAGTATTGAAAATGATATTTAGGCTAACGAGTTTACACTTTGCATCCATAGTGGGGTATTTCTTCATATCGTGTCATAAATATTTCAAGAGTATTAAGGTTTTCTTTCTCTCGATTTTGCAGGTGCGGATGTGGTCCTGCTTTGCAAAAATGTGGAGACCGGAAACGTGACATACTCCGTTAACGGAAAATCTGGCAAAGATGGGAGCTACACTCTAAAAGCAGAAGGAGATCATGGTAACGATGTTTGTGAGGTGAAGGTGGCAACAAGCCCCCAACCTGACACCTGTGGTGAAGCCATGGATGAAACGGCCCTGGTCACCCTCACCGATATCGAGTCAAACAGCGATATTCGCTACGCTAACTACATCGGCTTCATGAAGAAGGACCCCGATGCTGAGTGCACCAAAGTGCTCGAGGAGTTGGGTATCTACCCTAATGATCCTGATGAGGATGTCGCTGCTCAAGACCCACCTCCTAATGAAGGATCTGCTCCTGTAATACCTGCTCCTGAAGGATCTGTTCTTGAAGAACTTGCACTACCTGAGGATTAAATTAAATTAGCTAGCCACATTAATTACATGCATGTATAATGTATTTGGCATTTGCATAACTTAATAACTTCTCCTGCATGTATCAAAGTTCATGGTAATTTAATTGCCATATTTGCAATTATAATGACCACAAGTATTTGAGTTGATAAATCTATTAAATGAATGTTTTGGCCTTAATTTTCCTTTGGAGGTGTTGGAAATAGTGGCCAAGATACACCACTATAATATTTGGAAGAGAATAAAAATGGAAGAAAAACACTTTTATTTCACTTGATTGAAAATGGATAAAATACATGGGATTATATAGGCTTCAAAACATATATGTAACAACTATATGTAAATGAAAATTAACACCCCACTAACATAACATTAAGTAGGCATAACTCCTTGGCCATTACTAGATGTAACTTTCATGCCTCCCACTAATTCCAATAAAAACTCACATAAATATAAAATTAAACACCAAATAAAAAACACCCATGACCTTCAAAGACATTTTAAAATATAATCAAGTTTAATTTCTAACACCCCCTTTAAACTTGATTTTTTTTCAACTCCAAGCAAACTCCTTAACTTGTGAAAATTTGCAAAACTTGAATGGCTTGGTGAAAATATCCATAACTTGATCTTGTGACTTGATGAACTTGAGCTCCACCTCCTTCTTGGTTATGCTATCTCTAATGAAATGAAATCTTATATCAATATGCTTGCTTTGTTCATGGAACACCGGATTTTTGGCCAAAGCAATTGCTGATTTGTTGTCCACAAAAATCTTCGTTGACTCTTCTTGTAGCATATGTAATTCCTTCAACAAATTTCTCAACCAAATTGCTTGACAAACTTATGAAGTGGTTATAACATATTCCGATTCACAAGTTGAGAGAGTGACAATGGGTTGTTTATTTGAACACCATATAGAAGCAGTATTTCCCATAAAAAAAATAATAATAATAGCCAGAAGTGCTTATTCTATCATCCAAATCTTCGGCCCAATTGCTAGCACAATAACCCACAAGCTTGAAATCATTAGAAAATGAATAGAATAACCCAAAATCAAGAGTACCTTTGATGTAATGAAGAATTCTCTTAGCCGCCTTGAAATGAGTTATGGTGAGTCTTTCCATAAACTGACTACCAAGCCCAATCGCAAATAATATGTTTGGCCCTCTGCATGTTAAGTATCTCAAGCTTCCAACAAGACTTTTGAAAAATGTTGGATCCACTATCTTTCCATCTTTATCTCTTGAAGATTTAATTCCAACTTCAATGGACGTGTTCACCAATTTACAATCTTCCATCTTGAATTTCTTGAGAATTTCCTTAGCATAGCCTTCTTGGTGAATAAAAATTTCATCCTTCATTTGCTTGACCTCAATGCCAAGATAATAAGCCATGATGCCAATGTCTGTCATCTCGAACTCTTGAGTCATAACCTTCTTAAAATCTTTAAACATTTTTGAATTGCTACCTGTGAAGATTAAATCATCCACATACAAACACACAAAAAATATATCTCCATTCTCATGTACTTTGCTTTGGAAGTGCCTTGTGGTCATGGATGGTTAACCAATCCTCCTTTCGTAATGCCTTGGAGGTGCCTTGGGTCAGATTACACTAATAGTTTAGAGGTTGAAATAGAAATGTTTCGGAACGGGGAGTGATACGGATGACATTGCATTCCATAGCATGGCATGGTTTGTTACGACTTGAACTATTGGTGTTGATGTTGTGATTATATTTATCCCGGTAATGGCATGATCCCACTTCTTTTTCCTATTCCTTATTTGGATTTATGGGGTCATAAGAGGTATATCTTAGGCACCACCTACTGAGCAATTTGCTCACCCCATATATTTAACATTTTTTAGGTCACGGGAAGGAAGTGGCGAACAATGCTCCTCCACAAGGTTCGATGGGTTAGTGGATTGTTTTGACATATCTTGTAGTTATGATCTCTTTATATTATTATTGTTATTACAATTTTTTTTTTTTTAAACCTTGGGATGACACGTATGTTATGTATTGACATTGGAAAGGACGGTAGTGTCCTTAGTTGACCTCGGGTTCGGATAAGGACCCGGTTAACGATTCGAACCCTCGGGTTCGGGTCATTACAAAAAGGTGAAGAGGTTAAAGAAGATGAGGATGGGGAATTTGAGGACACCACTGATGAACCTATAGGAATTCTTGCACCATCTCTAGATATTCCCACATTTAGCAGTTCTAGAGTTAGATTGAGTCATCCAATTGATAATGAAATAGGTCCATGGGATAAGCATGGTACTAGGAGTACAGTCCGTGATGATATAAGATACTCATGCATTTTAGATGATATAGTTCACACATATCACATGGCTCAGTTTGAACCTAAGAATGTTGATGAAGCTCTTCAAAGTTCTGATTGGCTTATGGCTATACAAGAAGAATTGCTTCAATTTGTGAAAAATGATGTTTGGGAATTAGTGCCTCGACCTAGTGATGTTAATATCGTAGGGACCAAATGGATTTTTAAAAATAAACTTGATGAACATGGTCTTGGGATGAGAAATAAAGTTAGATTAGTTGCACAAGGATACACTCAAGTTGAAGGAATTGATTTTGATGAGACTTTTGCACCTGTTGCTAGACTTGAGTCTATTCGACTTCTTTTTGCTCTTGCATATCACTTTAAATTCAAATTGTTTCAAATGGATATAAAAAGTGTTTTTTTTAATGGTATTTTGTAGGAAGAAGTTTATGTAGCACAACCAAAATGTTTCATTGATCCACATAATCCTGATTTTGATTTTCATCTTAAAAAGGCTCTTTATGGTTTAAAGCAAACACTTAGAGCATGGTATGAGAAGTTGACTTCTTATCTATTGCACAAGGGCTTCAGAAGAGGAGGAGAGGATAAAACGTTGTTTATTTTCAGGAAAGGAAAATATTTTCTTATTGCTTAAATATATATGGATGGCATTGTTTTTGATGTTACATGCTATAACCTTGTTCATACTTTTTCTAAAGATATGAGTAAAACTTTTGAAATAAGCATGGTTGGTGAACTAACTTTCTTTCTAGGTCTCCAAGTAAAACAACTTGATTATGGGATTTTCACATCTCAATCAAAATATGCAAAGGAACTAGTTAAAAAGTTTAGTATGAAAGATTCAAAGCATGTTCAAACTCCTATGAGTACTTCATCCAAATTGGATAGAGACTCTGATCCTAACAAGGTTGATCATTTCTTGTATAGGAGTATGATTGGTATTTGGTAGCAATTAGGCTAGATATTTTGTTTAGTGTAGGTGTTTGTGTTAGGTATCAAGCTGATCCTAGAGAACAACACATTCTTACAGTCAAGCGTATTATTCGTTATGTCAATAGTACATTGAATTATGGATTGGGTTATTCTTCTGAGTCTAACTCTGAGATTGTAGGCTATATTGATGCTAATTGGGCTGGTAACAAGGATGATAGAAAGAGTACTTCAGGTGGTTGTTTTTATATTGGTACTAACATTGTTTCATGGTACAGCAAGAAGCAAAATTGCATATCTTTATCATCTTGTGAGGCTGAATACATTGCTGCTGGAAATTGTTGCACATAATTACTTTGGATGAAATAGATGCTTCTGGATTATGGAGTTGATCAAGGTACTATTGCTATCTTTTGTGATAATACTAGTACAATTAATATTTCAAAGAATCCAGTTTTGCATTCTAGGACTAAGAACATTGACATTCGACATCACTTTCTTAGGGAACTTGTTGAACAAAATGTCGTGCCTTTGGAAAAAGTGCACACTGATCAGAATTTGGCTGATATTCTCACTAACCATTAGATGCTCCTAAGTTTTCTCATTTTAGGAAATCTATTGGTGTTTGTTGTCTTGATTAGATGCATTGCAGAGACATAGTCTAGAGTATGTTGAACACAAGGAGTTTAATGACACATGAATTATTTGTGAAAAGCATACGATGGCTATTAATTGATGAAATTAGTTTTGCTTACTTATTTCATATAATAAATGAATCATTGATAGTACATTTACTTGTTTTTAATGTCAATGTTTTGGTCAAAGATAATGTTGATATGATTAATCATTGTCTTGGGATTTAAACTTGCTTTATGTGTTTTAGACTAAAAGGTGAAAAGAAAAAGAAAATTGAAAAACAGCTTGGAATGAAAAAGTTTGTGGAAAAAAAAAAGGGGGAAATTTTATTGCTGTTTTAAAACAAAAAGGTGAGATGGAAAAAGCTACCTTTGGGATTTGTTCAAAAGCTACATTGACTCGAAATAAATGGGAATAAGGGAAAGAGCTAGCTGCCTATAAGCGTGAAAGCCGCCAATGTGCAAAAAGAAAAAAAAAGGAGCACAAAGAAAGATAAAAAAAAATGTTTTTTCCATATGTTGATTGTTTAATTTCGAATGATATGTGATATCATTGATTTATTATTTGAAAGCTGAACAATTGACAGATCATATGTTTTTGGAACTTGGTGGTGATTTTATTACACTTACTAAGTTTGTAGAACTTCATTAAATTGATCTTGGTTATTTCTATTGATACATATAATCTTGTGGAGTCTACATTCTCATTGGTTTCAGTTTACAAGATTTATATGATTGGTTGCTTCCTCCTTCTAGGATTTTTCTTCCTTGTGATCCTTGTTAATTTGTGACAAAAAGGGGGAGAGAGTTTAGAGTTTCATTATTCAAGGGGAGATATATTTTTGCATTAAGGGGAGAACTTTTTACATTAAAGGGGAGAACCATTGATCATTGCATGTGTTTACATTGCGTTGATATTCAGGCATTAAAATTTGTTATTTTATGCTTGTGTTTATTTTCTAGATTAACTTTCACGGGTAGTTGTGTTTGAACAAATGTGCAGATTACAAGTTGTTACATGTGTTGAACATTTATGAGGTTCAAGAAAATTTTTCGCATTTTATTTCCTTTAATAATAACTGTAATTTACTTTCCTACTTGGGTAGATTATTAATTGTTTTTAGGGTTTTGTCACGAAATTGTCAAAGGGGGAGATTGTGGATTTGTATTTTGTAATTGGCTAATTTCGATGTCAAAACAAGTTCGATCGAGTTGTAATTTTTCGGTTCAAAATTTCAAAGATTGAAGATCGAATGCGGATTTGAAAAAGGTCAAGTGTTTATGATATACTACACTCTGAGATGATAAGATTAATGCTTTAGGAAGTTTCGAGGAGTAGTGAGAACATTTAGGAATGGTTTTGGAAGGTTCAAAACAAGTTTTTACATTCTGTCCATCCTGAACTGGTTCAAACTTCATCGAACAGGTTCAACATTAGCAGAATTACCTGAGTTTCAAGACTGGCCATCTTGAACCGGTTCAAGGGGGTTGAACCTATTCAAGAATCCGTGGGATTCATTACTGGCCTTCTTGAACCAGTTAAGCCTCTCTGAACCAGTTCAAGGTCTCCTGGCAGCACTTGGATTTTAGTTTCCTTTTTGATTCCAACTTCCTTCCAAGTCCTATACACGAAATTTATCATATTTTCTAAGGGATTAGGACTTCCAAAACTCTATATAAACCATGTCATATACATTGGTTTGGATACGGCTTTAGGGAAAATCAATTCTATATTTTGAGAAAGCCTTTAGAGAGAGAAAAAAAATTCAGAAAATCAAATTTAATTATTCTGAATTTATTTATTTATATTCATGAATGATTTAATTATGTTGTTTTCTATCTCATCGAAATTGGAGCTATATTGAAGATTAAGAGATTATGGATGATCAACAGGAATTAATTCTTCTACAATCGAGTTCAGATCTTGAAGAACAGAAGTAAAAGTGATCACACTTTGAAAGGGTTGGAGAATTCGAGGAGTGTTGTCTGATCTACTCGCTACTCTTCTACAAATATCAAACATAAGCCTGAGGTCAAGTTGCTATTGGATGGGGAGTCGCAAAGCCAGATGATTGTTAGCAATTGGTGTTTGGTAGAACGATAGGGTGTGAGCCAGAGTCAAAGTTCGGTGTACTTTGTTTCAAACATAGTGGATCGGTTTACTTTAGACTGCATAGTCAACGAGGTTTTTCCCATGCAAACAGTTAACGTATTTCATCAACTGGGCTTTCCTCGCTAAAAATCCTGGTGCAATCTCTCTAAACCTTTACTTACTTTACTTTACATATATTTGTGATTGTGACTGTTTAATTGATCATGTAATTTAATCAATCATAAATTGAGCAAGTTGACCTAATAATCAGATCTAGGTCATTAAATGAATTAATCACAATTAAAATCAACTGACTATTTTCGCACCCTGCGTAACTCCATTATCACATGTAATCGTTAATTGCACTTGCTGGGAATAGTGCAATATAGTACATTGCATCACGGGCCTTATTTTCATGAATTACATTTAGATATACAAGCTGCAGTAAAGTTCTTTGATGTATTCATTGAAGGGTATTTCAGTAATTCTGTTAATTACCTTGAGGGTATATTGGTCAATCTATATTCTTTAGATAATGTGAAGCACTCTACAGAAGGTGCATTACATCTAATGGTCTTGATTTGTATGATAAGGCTCAGCATTCTCTGATGTGCAAAATGTATCAGCTGAAAGGTATTTGTGAGAATGTATATAAGAAATGTGTTGCAAGAATACATCATTGCCACGTAGCATAGTGGTCCTGTAGAGAGAAATCTGTATAGTGAATTCATTGGCTAATTCAAGAAGGTCTTATCCATTATAGGGCTGAAATGAGGAACCTATAAATATGATGTTATAAAATTCAGCAAAACAAGCAATATTTAAGTGTATTAGAAAAGAAGTGCAGCTGCTGAGCGAGGTTTCTTCGGGGGCTTAAATGAATAAGGCATTTCAGTGAGTTTGATCTGTGATCCGAGCTAAAATGGATCACTGAAATCTACCAAAAGATTGCACAAGAGTTATGAAGAATATGGAAATTCTGTAGAGGTTGTTTTCTGGTGCAAAAGGAAGGTGAGGAGGTTTAAATGTTGCTGTGGTCGATTTTGGAGTTAGAACAAGGTTTGAACAAGTGTGTTTTATCATTTTATAATTGCTGAAGGTGCTTTGAGCCTCATATCACTGCTGGTACAATCTTTTATACCTTAAACCTCTAGTATGCTTTGTTTTCTGGTTTAAGCTTCTGAATCTGAGTGCATCTTGCTATAATCTTGCTATACTTTGATTGATTATCATTTGAGCATGATTAAAATGTTGTGTTGAGGCTGTCTAAGTTAAGGTTTGGCCTAAGGAATGACTTGTTCTAATTAAGTACTGAGAACCACACTAGTTTTAATATTATAGCAGTTTTGGAAATCTGGTTTGGGTGTGAAAATGAAATATATTGCTTTTATGGATGTGCTATTCAACTGAGCATGTTTACACAGTTAAAATACATTTGAGAGAGTCGAAATCCAGAGGTTGATAGTGTTGAAATATCAAGATTACCCTCAAAACAGTGCTGCTGCAGAATTTATCCCACTTTGAACTGTGATTTGTTATTTCATTGCTGTAAAATGGAAAGTGGCAATTAGGGCATGTTCTATATGTTAATTAAAAGTTGTGAGAACTGAGAACAAGGAGGTCTAGCCACGAAGTTACAGTTTTACCCCTCAAACCAGAAACTGCAGAAATGAAAAATGTACCTACTGTGAAGTACTAGTTTGCTGTGTTTTGAGCTGTTGTGTAAAACCTTTAATGATATAACTTGTTCCAGCTTTACAACAAATGTGAATCATCATTTTTAAGCTAAGGAAGCCCTTAGTTGAAGAGACTTTTAATTATTTCAAGATGATGTTTAGCAAAGACTGAAAACAGGTTATTAACCTATGAAGAGGCTATTGTGAGCTTATATCTATGTGATACCTTGCTATTTAATTTGTTCTAAATATCTAAACAAGTGTATAGTATCTATTCAAGCTGAGGGAGCCCTTGGTTGTTGAGGAAATGAAGCTTGATCAGGTAGTGTTTGGTTAAAACTAAAAATCATGTTTTAAACCAAAAAGAGGTTGTGGTGAGCAACTATTGTGGTATCTTGCTATTCTATTGTTAAAAATTATTTGAGCAAGTGTATTTAGCCTATTGAAGACTAGGGGAGTATAGTTTTGGGTTCCTCTGAAGCTGAATTACAAGTCTACCCTTAAAAGCTTGAAAGCTAGGGTTTGGTGTGACTAAGACCTTTGTGAAGTGAAAGTGTTATACCTTACTCCAATCATTCTGAAACGTGTTAAGCAAAGTTATTTGAAGATATCAAGGCTGTGGGTGACTAGTGCAGGTCAGTTTTGAAGCTGCAAAGTAAAGTTAGTTCTTTACCCTTGGTTTTAGGGTTTTGTTCTATTGTGCACCAAAACTACTGTACCTTGCTGAGTTCATTGTGGAAGACATTTGTGCAAGTGTATATTGGCTATACAGAGCTGTGGAAGTCCATTGCAGGCCATTCTTGGAGCTGCATTGTGAAGTTACTTCATTACCCTTAATTTTAGGGTTTTAGCCTTGTGTGAGCTGTCATCATTCTACCTTGCTTATCTACTTGTGTAATCCATAAAAGCAAGTGTATCTAATTGATTCAAGGCTGTGGGAACCTAGTT